TTCAGGGTTTAGGGTTCAGGGTTTAGGGTTTTAGGGTTTTTGGGTTCAGGGTTTAGGGTTTAGGGTTTTCGGGTTTTAGGGTTTAGGGTTTAGGGTTTAGGGTTGGGGGTTAAGGGTTTTGGTTCCTTGAGAGGTGTCGATAGAGTCTATGGGAGTGTCGAGGGTTTTTATTATACGAACCCAGACTCCAACAATGTCAACATTATGGGATCTTAACCGTAGTCTAAAGATGATCAGAACACTAGCGAAAAGGGGAAGGGGTCATCGGGAAACCTAGGCACTTCTCATTTCAATTGGTGGTCTGGCAACCGCAAAGGGTATCAGCGAGCCATGGATGATCTGCTGCGCAACCAGCTACCTCCGGGCTTGCGTCACTGCGATGGCCTCCAGGCTGTCCCTGATTCCAAAAGCTGGTGGACAGGTTGCTGGGTTTTGCTCAGGCAGGTCAGTTTTCACCCTTACGTTTAGACCCTAAACCTAGACCTTAAACCAAGTTCGGCAGAGTCGATAATTACCACGACATCAGGTTGCAGCCACAATGGTTTCATAGACTGCCCGCGGGAGCTCAAAGGGGAGTGCTGCTGCCCCATGGGCCACCGAATCGTCGGAGACAGCTGCGTGCCTTGTGGTGACTTCGCCAAGACCCTGCACGCCCAATTTTTTGTTATAAAGCCTTCAGGGTCAAGCGCCCTGTCAGGGTTCCCATAGAGGTTCCTATAACCCCAAAACCCTGTCATAAAACCTAGGAGTTGAAGCCTACAGGCTGTTCTGAGTTCAGGTGACTTCGCCGACGCCGTCGAAGAGTTGCATGCTCTGCCATTGCTCTACACTCTAAGTCCGGAGTCCGGTTCCTCAGCCTCAGTAGTAGAGTGAGGAGCCTGTAAACTTGGTTAGGTATTTTCTCCCAAGGGTAACCTCTAATTCCCCTCTAATAGTTCTAATCGTTTTTAAGAATTCCGGGTTTACGCCGCCAAAAAGTCAAGTCTTTCATCCTTTTTTGGGTGTTATTGGACACCTGAGGCAAGGCAAGCTTTCATGTGATGCTGCTGCTTGCCTGTTTCGCCCTGCCGCTTCCCTGGGCCTTCCTGGCACAGTTGAGATGGCGGCTTGGCTGGAAGCGCGCGGAGGAGGCCTCGACCTTTTCAATCCAACAGCCTAAACGCCGCTTTTACCCTAACCCGCCAGGTACCTACTATATAGGGTGCTATAGAGCCCCTAGGGCCCTATATAGTAGGTACCTGGAGGGTTAGGGTTAACCGTCAGCTGAACCCAGAAAGGCTTCAACCCCAAAGTCCAAGAGGCGTTTCTACACTACGCTGTCCGGCATCAGCGGAAGGAGGCGGCGGAAAGCTGGGGAAAGCTAGGAAGACGGGGCACTTCCCAGGGGCCCATCACGGTGGAGGCAGCTGGGTTCTTGTTAAGGGGCCTGTTCCCCAGACCTTAGGGAGGATCCAAAAGGTAGATCCCCCGAATGGGGCTCCTACAAAGTATGCTTTAGGTCCGGGATCTACTTTTTTAGATCCTTCTCAACATGGGTTGATACAATATAAACTGTATACTTTCTCTGTATAAGCTCCTGAACTTAACACCCCATAAGTGCTGCCGATAAAGCTCTAGATCCTAAAGCCTTCTTATGGAACCCTTGTAGATCCTTGAAGGGAGCCCTTGAAGAGACCCTGCCAAACCCGACCATGTATACGCCCCTCAACCCTCACAGATCTCGTAAAGGAGCCCTTCGGCTTTATAGGTCCCTGGAAGGGGGCCCTATTCTACCCTAAAGCCTTATCAACCCACTCCCTGAGGTAAGTTCGATGTCCGGCGAAACTCGAAAGGCACCGGGATTCCACGGCTCTTCGCTTCTTCTACATCTTCGAAAGGACGCAGGGTTAATGTAAGGGGGCCACCGCAGATTCCCTACCCTGAACCCATCCCTGGATCCCTAGAGGAAGCGTCAGCCATCTTCCACATGGACTTCGTGAATGTTGGCCTGGTGGTCGGTTCCCGTGTGCTGCCAACAGACTTGGATTTCAAGACCTTGGACGAGCTGCTGGATTACATCCATGATTTCAGGGAGAGCCGGGTGAAAGATTTCTGGGTTTGGGCGATTGGGGCTCGGAACTTCTTGGGCATTGTAGTTTCGTTAAACACCCTTCGCCACCGTCTTGGTATTGATGCAGCGCTCCGAAGGACAGTGGCTTGCTAGGGCCCCACCCCAGAACCAACCCCTGCTGCCGAAACCTTTGCCACTTCATCGTTTCTTCGCACAGCCTGAATCAGCGGTGTGATGCAGTATCTCCTTGACGGTACTCTTTTATGTGTAGGCCTTTTTGTAACACCATGCTCTGCGGCCCTTGTCCAGGCCTTGCAGGAGGCGAAACACACCCTAAGCTCTCAAGCTCGAAGCCCTTAAGTGCTGCACGCAGAATCTTTCAAGCTTATGTAGATCTGAATTTACCCTACAAACCTAAACCCTAAATCTTTGAACTCTTCACAAAAATCCTGTAAGCCCAGGCTGAGCATTGTCGATGGCACCTTTCTGTCCGTAGTTTTTATGCAGCTGGGCTCTTGTGAAGGAGGGTAACCCAAGGGTTGAAACAAGGGTTCCGACAGAGTTCTTTTCGGGCTTTGTACGGGTGTTCAGGAATCAGTGTTTGATTAGCTCACCGTAGTCGGGGTTTTTGGTACATGAAAATGATTTCTTCGTTCTTGTTTGCGAAGTCCTGTTGCTCAATCTTCAAACCCACGTGAAGAAAGCGGGGAAGCTCTCTGTAGAGGCCTTCAGAGAAGACTTGTGTCTTAAACCCAAAGCCCCAAGCCGCAGGGTTGGGGTTGAGAGTGTAGGGCACTGGGAAACAAACCCTATACCACCTTTAGCCCAAACCTTGTGCTAGTATTGGTTTAGTACTCCCTCATTGGGCACTTCGGGCTACAGAAGATGACAGATACTGGGCATGTACATGTAGCAAGCTCGGGACGTCTCCTTGCCACGCCTGCTTCGTGCGAGTGTGTGAGTCGAAACCCTAAACCCTAGACCCTAAACCCTAGACGCTAGACCCTAAACCCTAAACCCTAAACCCCAGTAAAGGGGACCCTAACCCCAGAGCTCAGGCCGCCAGAGGAGCCTTCTTGGCGCGACCGCCTGGCTGGAACTTCGGAGAGTCATGCCTACACCTTCTTCCGACGTATCTGGCCGATTTTGAGTTTATAGTGCTAATAGGGGCTTTACAGGGTTTGCATCTTCTTCCGATAAATCTGGGCGATTTTGAGTTTATAGTGCTAATCGGGGCTTTACAGGGTTTACATCTTATTCCGACAAATCTGGGCGATTTTGATTTGATGGGGCTTAAAGGTTTTAGGGGTTTCATACCTTCTTCCGACGTAGCTGGGCGATTTTAAGTTAACAGGGTTTAGGCTATATGCTAGCCCATGTGTAAACGAGGTCTTGGGGAGGGGGGTTTTACATCTCTTCCGGCGTGTCTTGGCTGAGGGTTGCATAGGATGTTAAGGAGTTTGCCTACTCATTCCCACAGGTCTTGGCTAGCTGGGGCTTAGGGGCTTTACTGTCTTCCGACGTGTCTTGGCCATTGACTTTCAGGATTGTTTATGGGTCAAATTATGGATACAAAGGTTGCATCTGGGCTCATTTCTAAAAGGCTTTGAGGGTTTAGAGATATCTAGGGGTTGCACGTGTTACATACTTCTTCCGACGCGTCTTCTGTAAATTCGCCTCAAGGGTTTTCTGCAGGGTTTGTGCTTTTCACCGGTAGGTTGTGCTTTCGTTCAATCTTCTGTCGCTTCTTGGAGTTTTACGGACTTTATAAGGCGGTCCCTAAAACACCGTAAGACTCCAAGAGGCGGAGGAAGGTTACAAGGGTTAGGATTTAGGTAAAGTTTAGGCCTTTATATACACACTACTGGTAGGTGGTTTCTTCTTTCCTCCTGCCGACGCGTCTTGGAGCTTTAAGGGCTTATGGGGGTTCGCGGCATCTTGGGGTTTAAATGCCTTAAGGGCTTAGGACTTAGGGGCTCAACAGTTTAGGAGTTGGAGGTCTAAACCCTATATAAACCCTAGACCCACTGACCCACAGGGTTTCAGGGTCTGATTGGGTCAATTTTTAGGGTTTTTCGTTGCGTTTTGTTGCTTTCCTTCCTACAAACCCGGTTTAAGTGCTTAGGTTCTGGGCTTGTGAGGTTTTGGGCAAGGTGATGCAGTCAGGGCGCTTCAGGCATTCCTTGTATTGCGCATATGTATTGTATATACATACTCACATACCCGTTCCGCTTTTCATGTAGTTAGCCAGCTAGCTTTACAGCTTGCTTGTTTTTGTTTGTTCGGGACCTACTCATGCGCTTAACTGTACGTATTCATTCGCATCTGCAGGTTTTTCGTTTGTAGACATCACCTGCGATATGCGATATCTTGTATGACTAGCCTGAACGGCTTCATCGAGTTGGGGCACCTGTTTACAACTCCACTCACGTTTTGAGCCACCCTGACGTCGATCTTCCAAAACATACCACCTTGTAGCGTGCGCATATGTGTCGCTGCAGAGCGCTTCTTCCAAGCGGCTGTAAGGCAATCGCAACGTCTACCGTGCAAGAGACTGCCAACACCTCGGGCAGCTGCGTTTGGCCCAGGGCAACACGATCAACTTCGGGCAGTCGTGCCTAGGGCGTCCTTCAGCATGGATTTGAATGTTAGTGTAGTATAGTCTGAAACCAGGAAGGAAGACTCCCATCGCGAAGATTTAAGGGGTCGCAAAAGACAGGTACACCAAGGGCTGGACCTGTGATGGCTGCGAGAAGTTCTCTCCGCCCGGTACGATGCTCCGACGCTGCGACATCTGTCGGATTGACTTCTGTGAGCGCTGCGCAGCCAGCGCTGGCTTTCCAAGTATCCCAGACGAGGATCTGCGAGACTAGGGCATAGTAATCGTGACAACCAAGTCCCAGGACAGCAAGTCTATGCATCTCAATCAAGCTGTTGCAGTATTAATGATGTTGATCTAGATGGTCATGCAGTCATGCAGCCTTTCCAAGTTTCCGGCCTGGGTGTTGGCCCAGTTGTCGTTGAAAGCTTTCCAGTCAACGCTGCTCTCAGGGCCGTTCGGTACCAGCCGAGACTGGCGACGGCACCGGATACAGCTGTGGGACCGACGCAGTCGGAAATCCTTGTATCACCCGGAGGCACTAAGGCTCAACATATCTCCAGAGCGATGTCCAGTACGAAAGGTCTCGAAGTTTGAGTCTTGTAAGCCTTTGGGGTTAATATTGCTGCAGTCAGAGACTTACCAGACCTGAGAATGTGGCATTCCAGATTCAAGCTCTTGATCTCCGTATGCCAAAACTGTGGGTTACAAGGTCTCGAGGATACGATGGGGCTTTGAACATTCACTATACTACACATGCCCTTTGCAGTCCTTATATAACCCGCAATGAGCCGCGAGACCTCAATGCAAACCGAAATGCCAGCTCTTTCTCAGGTCAATATCTGTAAATGCAGCCAAGTCATTTGCAGAGCAGTCTGCGCCAAATTGTACAGAGAAGCGCGCTGGACCAGGGAAAACGAACTGATGGGCTCCTGGCTCTTCGCCCTGACAAGTTTGACCATCTTTGGCATTCCACCGCTGTCCATACCCAAATCCACTTCCTCCATCGCACAGGGCTTGTTGGGTGCCAAACGCTATTTCGCAGCATGCTCACGGAGGTTAGGCTTTAAAGCTTGTGAGGTTTAGCGATCTGAATCTAAAGTTCAGGGTGCATATGTTTGTAAAGTGCAGGATGTAAGACTCCAACGTGCCGGCCCCAGACCGCGACTCAAAACAAGAAATCCGGATGCAGGGTATAGAGTTTAGGTTTTACTGCGCAGTGCATGGGTTCGGCACGAGTAGAGCTGGAATTACGTATGGGATTGGGAGGTTGAAGTTTTCGACACCCTGAACCCTAAAGCCTTGGAAACCGTAGTAACCTTAACTGGGTCCGTTTTGGCTACAACTTTACATTTCTGTCATATTAAAAACCCAATAAGGATTAAACATGATCATGTTCAATATAGCCCCAACAGGGAACCAGTTAACACAACCTAAACCCTAAATCCCAAACAGATAAGCTTTTTCGGAAAAGGCCACGGATTGGCATAGGGCTCATGTTTGTATAGAGCTCATCATGCCGGCGTCCCAAAGTAGTAGTACACCTTACAGCCCCAAGCGTAGTTCCTTTGTATGAGTCTCGAGGGAAATCCTGAGCCCTCCAAATTAAAGTTTCGGGTTTTAAAGTAAACTACGTAGTAAGTCACCGCATGGCAAGCAACTACTGTACTTACTATGATCTGCTTGCCCCATATCCTACCCCCAAACCCCCTAAACCCTGAACCCCGAAAACCCCATATACGCCAATCCCCCTAATACCCCATACGTTAGTCATGAGCTTTCAGTCGTATGTCGCGCATGCTGAGCTGAGCATTTGGCCAATATAGGGGTCTGAGGAGGGTTGCTTTCAGGGTTGTATAACATAGTGTCTTAAATAAATCAAAACGAGGCTTCGGGAGCATACTAGTGACGAATAGCATAGGCAATGATTCAGGCCCCTGTGTTACCTTGCCAGGAGAAGTATCGCATGATCATGGGCGTTGGCTTTGCAGGCCCCCGACTTTCCCTGCGGGTTTCGCGAAATGTTTGAGTTTGTATCGCGGCTATTGCTTTGGCGTTTGTTTGTTTTGTATGTTTGGGGGCCTTTGATGCGTGTCTTTAGGTATTGCTATGTTGGTCTCTACGGGCGGCGCCGATGTCGCATGTTTGTTGGTGAGGGTTTAGGGCCGGGCCCTAAACACTGAGCCCTACTTGTGGAGTTTCACTTCGTTTGTTCTCGGGGTGATGAGTTCTATCCTTTTGTTTTGAAACTGCAAAGCCTTCTAGGTTGCCGCAGCAGCTTGGATCCCACCGAAGGCTCCAATGCTGTAGTGCTGTTGCCGGAGTAACTTGGCTCATTGCTAGGATCCAAGATGTAGAAACTAGGATGTCGACAGAACGGGCGACCTTTGCATATTTGAGTGGCTGCGTCCTTCCTTCGGCTTTCGAGCTTTGGCGGGTGGGGGAGGCGCGCTTCAGGTGTTGGTGGTGGTGTACGGTTTGGGGCTTGGCGAGTTCGAGGGTTACGCTATGCATTTAGGGCTGCAGAAGCATTGTGCAACGCAGATGTATGCGAATGGGTTGTGTTAGCCAACCGCAGCATGGGACTTTGCCACACCACACGCGTGCCAAAAGCACTTAGTCTCAAAGCGTCAGGCCAGAGCAGCTTCATTGAGAATGGAGATCGTTCAACTTGGAACGTTTGCTGAGTGTCCCCTGATGAACCCTGCCTTATTTTAGTCTGATTCCCATAGCAAATGTGAACTAGTTACAGGAGGCCTTCTGCGGAACCAAGCCTTGGAATAACGCAACCCCTGTGTTTATGTGTTTATCAGATGAATGACCCAGCCTGCAACAGCCCAAACACTTATAGACAGCATGCATGCGAGATCCCCACATCAGGGTTGATGGCAGCAATTTGCTTTAAGCTTACATCTTCGTGCCAGGCTTCAAGGCGAAAAAGGGCTACTACATCGGCTCGGCATGGGCCCAAGCAGCCTCCAGAGAAAGTCAAATCTTCAGGCCTCCATCCTATCAAGCGGGGTCCCTAAGCCTTACGACTTAAACCGTAAGTAGTCGGTGCAGGAATTCGAGATTTTGTTTACCACGTGTTCTTTGATGTTGGGTTTCGGGCTTATTGGGTGTTGGAGAATTTATGGATGGTTGAGTGTGGGCCCCTTGGCTTTGAGTTTGCGTGTATTTGTTTAGGGGTTTATTGGATTTTGGACTTGCGTCAATGCGTTTTGGGGGGTTCGGTTCTCAAGATGGCTGGTGCGGGCAAGAGAGTTTGGGGTTTAGGGTATACTAGGCTTGGTGTGGGACTTCCACGCCCAGAACCTTTCATCTTGCTTCTGCAGTGGGAGTGGGGCTTTTAGTGTGAGTAGTGTTACCTTTGGGGTGACTTGACTTACGTAGAGCTACGACTGGTTGATCCTCATTGACTTATTCCTGACTCTACTTCTAAGCACCATTGATCTTTTTAAGTAGTTGCCGCTGAAGGTAGCTGTTGTTTGCTAGGTCCCCGAGTTACAGCAACCCTTTCAAGGCTTGAAAGTCGGACACACCCTGATGATGTAAGCCCATGTGGGGCTGCGAACAGGCGGCGCAATTGCCCCTCACCCAAACCCCTAAGCCCTATACACCCTTAACATCGCTTAACCCTGAATTCTGCACCCTACACCCTTAACATCCCTTAACCCTGAATTCTGCACCCTACACCCTTAACATCCCTTAACCCTTAAGTCTGCACCCTAGACGCTAAACCCGCAACTGCAACCCCAAGCCCAAAGCCTAAACCCTGTCCAGGGCAAGCCCATACAAGCCCCAACTACCCTCAAAACCCGAAACCCTAAACCCCCAAACCCTAAACCCTTTAAAGGAACCCTCAACCCCAAATCCCCAACCCTCTAAAGGAGCACCTAAACCCCAAGCCCTAAACCCTTTAAAGGAACCCTCAACCCCAAATCCCCAACCCTCTAAAGGAGCACCTAAACCCCAAGCCCTAAACCCTTTAAAGGGGCCCAAACCCTGCTTAAAGGATCATGGGACTTAGTAAGTAGGGTTATAACTAAGGTAACTATACTTATAACCCCAATTAGGGGACTTATAACCTTACTTACTAAGTCCCATGATCCTCCAAGTGAACTCTTTAAAGGAACCGTCGTACACAACGGGAGCCTCACAGGTTCTCGGGGTGCCTCGGCTGGGCGTGCCCTGCATCAAGATGCAGGACATTCCCAGCCAAGGGTTGTTGTTTTTGTGTTTGTTTTGGGGTTTTCAGGGTTTTTGTTAAGCGTTTAGGGGTTTGGAGGTTTTTTGAGGGTAGTTGGGGCTTGCATGGCCTTGCCCTGAGAATTGCGACAGATTTTCGACTGCACTGGCCCCATCTGCACAGTTCCCTGCGTTGAGTCTTACTTAGTCGTCGAGCACGTAGCCTTCCTAACTTTTGTTTGGGGGTCGCGTATTCCTTTTGCAATGTATGGCTTATGCCAGGGTCACGAGGGCTTGGCAAGCACACCTTTCACCCTGAACCTAAAGCCCTTGGCGCTATCGTTATGGCTGAAAGACCGGAGAAGCTTATGGGGATGGGACCCGGTACTAAACTCCAGAAGACTTCTGGGTTTTTCTGATTTACCTTATGGACATCAAGCACATGATGCTTCAGCTTGTTGCCATGTACTTGAATTTGGGGTTGCTGTGCTTGTAACCTGACTTGAAGCCTTCTTGCTCGGTCCCCTGATCCCCTCAGCATGGTCCTACGGACATGGGGGTTTCAGAAAACAGGGGACCCTAATATAGTACCCTAAATAGTAGGATCCTTATTATAAGGACCCCAAAATAAGGTACCCCTTAATGTCGGAAACCCCCACATTGTAGTTGGGCTTGTAAATGCTTTGGACGGAAGCTAACCCCGCACTAAACCCCAAAGCCGAAATGCGAAGCTCGGGTTCAAAGCCACTGGGGCTGGCACGGCAGGATCGGCCCGAACTAAGTGGATGTTCAAGCTTCCTTCCCCCCCCAAAAAGCCTCAACACTTAAACTCAGAACTCAGCAGTCTAGGAGTCTGCGGGGATTTCGCTCCTTCACAGCATGATGAACCGTGGCTGCGCCCTTTCTGATACATCCCGCCTACTAAATCACTAAGTACTAAGTCTCGTGACCTGTTCAGTAGGTGTTTAGGGTTTTAGGAAGTTCAGGGGCAAGGAGGTTTGAGACTCAAGACTTGCCCACACTCCTTCCAAATTGCATTGTGAGCCTCACTCCTTTGCATAGGTCCTTTGCGTTCGGGATGTTGTAAGGCCTAAATTAGTCTGTTTGTGAATTTCAAGCCTCAGTAAAAACCGCAAGACTCCCTGCAGCGTATGGCTCTCAGCCTATGCCAATGCTAGTGGAGCCAGACACCACGCCGAAACGACAGGAAGATGGCGCGCTCTTCTGGTTGCAGGGTTTCAGGATTTGGTGCAGCACTGGATTTCAGGGTTCACATGGGGATCCGTCAGCACAACAAGACAATCACGTTAGATGGTTCGGTGGGGCCATAGGGTTAACGTTTTTCCATACTTAAATTAACGAAAGCACTCATGTTACATCTAGTTCTCCATAGGATTGGGATAAGCCCTTTAAAGGAGCTTCTGATGAAAGCGGTGCTTCGACGACACCATGGCAACGGGCGACAACCGACACCTCAATGACCCATTCCTTTGTTTTTGCGTTTCCCCTTGTTTTAGTGGAGGGCTGTGGTCCACTTGATATGAGTATGATCCTACAACTCCTGAACTCAGAGTTGATGCAGTAAAGGCCCGGAGAACTCTTCCCGTACCCTGCAAATCCTGGCGAAGTCCCCTCGCAGAAGACCCGACCTCCATAGGATATACTTGGGCACCATAAAACTTACCGCACAGAGCAGGAGCGCATTCCCGTTGAAGCAGGTTAGTTCTTGGACGGTATAATTACTATGGGAAGTGAATTGTATATGGACTGTAAGAGGGTATTTCGCTCAGAATTGCGGTCCCTTTACCGGTCGGCAGAGACCCTACCAAAGCTTCGGAATACCCTTGTGACATCGGAAGCCAGGCGTCCATGGAAGTGCTTTTGCAGAAAGCATCCGCGGATTTTGAGCGGAATGTGCCTGGCTGGAATGGGTGAATTGGAGCATTTTGTTTGTGGATTGGGCTCAACGTGTCATGCTTTAGCCTAAGCCCAAACATAGACGCCAGATTCGTAATGCGTGAGGCCGAAGCACGTTTGGACGCTTCTTAGGTTGCTTTCCAGCAAGGTTTCCTAATTTCGGTAGGCTTGGTTTTCGGGGCAGGTGGGGCTTGGAGCTCAGACTTGTTCGGATTGTGAGCTTCCTGGTATTTTGTCTTCCAAGTGGCTTGCAGCGTAGTAGCAATCGTTCTGCTTCGTTCTTTCACGCAGCTGGAGGCACTGGAGGCTGCTGTTATTGTTCGTGACGTGATGCTGTGGGAAGTTCTGAGACTTAAAGCCCTGTTTCCATCCCCAACAGAGTACGTTGTCCAATGGTCCGAAGCCGAGGGGAACCTGTAGTGATGCAACTCCCCGCTCCGTTCACTCCATAGACCCCTAAACCACAAGCCCTCTAATACCGCAGAAGCCCTAAACCCCTGGACCCAGTCGACCCTAAGCCCGCTACATCTCTAAGTCCATTTAGCCCAGCTTCTCGATGCTACAACCAGGTCTCTGGTGCAACGACGGCACCAGACGACGAGGCATTCGTAAAGCGGATCTTGGGTTTTCGAGGTTAAGGAAAAAGGTTTGGATTTAGGGCAGTCGGGTTTAAGGTTAATTACGGGTCGCCCATGAACGCCTTAAAGACTGGAGCCAGATTGAGGATGTGGTTGATTTCGGCTTCTTTGTATCTTTACAGCAGGTTAGGCACCAGCATCCCGCGAACCTAAACCTACAGCTTTTGCCCATGCTCAAACGCCCTAAACTTAATAAATGTCCGAAGCTGCCAAACTCAAGATTGGGTTTCGCCAGGAACGTACTACAATTTCAGAGCCTGGGTTCAACATCCGCAGTCGTTTGCTTAGTCTTTAAGCTCGGACTAGGCCTCCGTCTTTGTCTTTAGGGCTTGGGGTGCTAGAACAGCGAGATTTGAGAAAAAAGCACGCTAAACAAAGGCAGATTTCGGTGGTTCCATCATAGAATCATCAATATAGCTCAGTTAACAGACATAGCGCAATTATTTAGGCCCTGGATGCCGCTGTTTGGACGTCTGGCATCAGAACCCTTTTCAGGGCTATTGCATGAACCCCAACCAAGATTTGCAAGAACATCCTGAAGCCCGGACCTTGTTGCAAAGAATCTATGCTCGGGACACGGAACTACAAGCCCCCAAACCCTAAACTCAAAGCTGCAGCATACCCAGAAGTCCTTAACGCCTAAGCCCTCAGCCCCGGACCCCGGAAGCGTAAACCCGAAACTCTCCTTACCCTACCTATAGCCCCACAACAACAGCAGCAGCAGCAACAACCGCAACCGCAACCGCAACCACAACCACAAATACAACGACAACGACAACAGCAGCAACAACCCCAACAACAGCAACTGCAACAGCAAATACAGCAACAGCCCCTAAACCCAAAAAACCCTCAACCCTGAATCCTAAACCCCTTACCCGACCTACAGCCTCGAAGAGTCTGAGATTTTGGCAGGAGCCCCTGCAGGAGCTTCCAGAGGTCCGACACTAGCGGATTTCGGGGACTTCCTGGTAGGAAGTCTTGGGGGTTTGGGGTTTATAGGGCTTAGGGTTTAGGGGCTTAGGTGGTTCATGGTTAGAAGTCTCATGATCAGGGGTTCAGGGCTTACAACTTATAGGGTTTAGGGTTTAGGGTTAGAAGTCTTAGGGGTTTAGGGCGTAAAACTTTATATATATATATATATATATATATAGGGTTTAGGGCTTTCGGTGGTTCATGACATGGTGGTTCTTGAAAAATGTTGGGCCCTCTTCTAATGCAAATGTGGGTGGCGCTTCTTGTGGCTTTTGTGGAAGTAGGGTTCATATCAGGCCCTTTCGAGCATTGGTCGGTGTACATTTGGGTGTTGTTATGGGTATCCTCGTAAATCCTGCCTGCACATGAACGTCCCATTGCAGCTGCTGCAGTACTGGACGGTTGGAGCGACTTCATTCGGTCAGTAGAATGCCACTCGAGCTTGCCGAATGTAAGAAGCTTCCGATCATGTTCCCGGAATCGCCCCATGCAGTCATTCTCAAGAGGATGCTGAACCCAAAGGGCAAGACCCAAACCCCAAGCCCAACACTGAACCCAACATGTCCTCCCCCCTAAACCCTAAACCCTAAACTCCAGCTTGGTACAGCCAGGTCCTCCCGCCTCCGGCTCGTCCGCAAAAGTTGAGAGCGGCTCGGGCGACGGATGATGAGGACAGGATCTGGATGTTAAGGGTACCTCATGCAAGGGGTGTGTGTGCGTGTGTGCGTTTTTCTTTAATGGGGGGTGTGGGGGGGTGTGGGGGGTTTGTTGACCAGCTATCAACTTAGTCATGGAAGCGCTTGATGCATGCCAACTTGCCTCGACGAGCTTGTTATGTTCCCGGCCTAGCGATTCGATCAGCAGTGCAGGAGGCAGAACACGTCTATTAGTTGATCGCGTGGGCATCTACATTCTCCTTTGGGGCTTTATTTGTATGTTCTTTTTAACCCCAGGGTTACACTGAGGTCGGGCCCAGGGGACCTCTGTAGGCATACTGCATACTTACTGCAAGGAGTATGGTAGCGGCAGTGGTAACAGATGGCTCGCTTGAGAAGTTCCACCCCCCCCTCCCTCAAAAAAAGCGAAAGAATGCTGAGGTGTTGCACCAAGGTGCGAGCTTGTGCGAGCCGGAACGGGATCTTCATCATCTGATCCTAAATCCCTAAACCCTAAACCTTGAACCCCAAACGAAAAACGGGCACCCAGCGCACAGCCAGGTGCAGGATATGGTCTCTTACTTGGCGTCAGCGCGGCCTTCAGATGCGAAGGGATGGTGAAGCGTTCGTAGGTAACAGATGAGAGGGTTTAGAGGTTTAGGGTTTAGGGGTCCTCAGTCCGTGCTGAAAGGGTTTAGGGAGGGACCCCTTTGGCTAAGCCATGCTTGCAGTATACACAGCTCAAAAAGATTTTTTCATGCGGGCATATGTAAGCATATGGAGACGTTGTAGAAACCGCCTGGTGTACTGCAACCGAAAAGGTGGACCCTAAACAG